TCTCTCTCTATCTCTCTCTTTTCATTTTTCTCTCTATAAAGCCACAGGGTGGTAATATGCCTGACTACTGAAATCTGGTTATGCACAACTCATACACCACCAGCAAAAATTACTCAGACAAGGCTGTCCAAGAACACCTCGGACAGCCTTGTCCGAGTAATTTTTGCTGGCAGTGATAATATTAAAACTCTCACAGTCATCAGCCTCTACCCAGATCATGAAGAGAGTTAGCTCACTAATATCTCCTTCATCCCATTACCACCATACCTATATATAGGTACTTGAGTATTTAGTTTTTGTGCTTCCTTTCTCTCATGTCTCAAACCTCATGTTTTGCCTCTGTACCTCTTCTCCTAGATTAGTGCACACTCCTTAACAGGGAAGGTGATATGTGGACTAACCCCATTGAATCACACCTATACCCAAGATACACATATAAATATACAGTGTTCTCAAGACATTTACAGTTCTTCTTCCACCCCAGCCTCCAGCCACAAATGGCAGGCTTAAACAAGCTGATTGTGGCTAACATGAACTTTGCCTATTGTTTTTGAAATGAATTATGTCTTTGGAAGCTTGAAGCTCGTTTTCTTGTGTTCCCTGAACCCCAAGTGCAAAGATGATTCCAAGTAGAAACAATTCTCAGTAAAAATCAACTTTTGCTCAACCCTTTTGGTATTTTCCCCATGCTTATTAGGTTCCAGGGAGCTTTGTAAGTTGAATACACCTGAATTTTTTGGTTTTCTGAGAGGCAAATAGCATTTTTCTAGTAGTGTGGCCTCATGTTCCAAAGAACATGGAGAACTCATAAATTCCTCTCTTGCAGGCTGGCTTTCCAAGAGGGACTTAGTTATGTTGACTCTAGGCTGTTTCCATACCACTTACTGCTGGGTTTCTTTTTATCTGCTCAGTTTTTATCAATTCATTAGGCATGTGCCAGCACTGCCAAGAAATTTGCATCGCATAGAGGCATGCTATGTCACATAGCAGGCCAAGATGCGATGCAATAGGTCTATTTTCCAAGGTAGGAACCTTGAAAAATGGTCCATAGTATCACATGAAGATATGCTATGTTACATAGCAAGCTTCCATGCGATGAAAATATATTGGCAGTGCAGCATGTGTGTGGTCTTCTGTCAACCAACTTTATACCTGTGTCATAGCCCCTCACACCATCCCAGAGAGCTCATTCTACATGTTGAACATGATGACATGGAGATGAATTCTCAGTTGAAAGTCCACATCCCTTGGTCTAAGCCACTAAGTTCATCTCCACCAAAACTTGTAAGGACATAACTGTTACAGTGTAAGCATTCTCACCCCATACCTGCTTCACAGAAAAACTGCGCACTTGACAATTGCATCAAAACAGTGTCGCATACCATCATGTGTGCATGCCTGCCAAAGTGCCACATGCCCGTGTGTGGCAAAAATTGACGCTGCCCGGGCTCGAACCGGGGACCTCGTGCGATCACCATGTGAAGCACGCGCTCTAACCAACTGAGCTACAGGGCCATAACGGTCATTCACGTCATAAAACAATCCAAAAATTTGACAGTTCACTGACACTTTTCAGACAGGTATAGCCTTCTACCAAGATCCGCATTAGGTAAGGTTAGAGTAGTTCCTTAACATCATGCAATGGTGCTCTCAGCTCTGTTCACTTGAGTTTTGAAAGTGATAAAAATGAGGGCATTGAGTCAATAAAACCATCTACTTGAAGACTGATCAAGTCTATGAAGAGATAATCATTATCAGAGGACTCCTTTATTGTACATGCATGAAGATCATGCAATGAAAAGCCAAGAGGATGTTTGATAGAGTATTGGCGCAAGATTTCTGTCTTGAAAATTTGTTGCCACAGCAATGGTATTGTGAAGAACTTCAGGTTTGGTGGGATTCTTGGTTTCTGTAGATTCGGACTCTTCACTAACCCCCCTCCCCCGGGGCTTTCCAGCGTCCTGTTCTGGCACAGCAGAGAAGGCGTGAATTCCAACCTCGGTCCGGTCCTAGGGCAGTCTGAGCCATGTACTTAACCTGACGGAGTAGTGAGCTGACGCCCCGACATGTATCGGACTGGAGCAGCCTATAGTTCATTTCATCGCCTAGTCATCGGTCGCATTTCACGAGATAAGCGAAGTCTGACTACCCAAAAGAACCTTTCGCCTGCCATGCCTCAAATCGACCAACCCTCTACCGGTCTCACGGCCTCCGAAAAAGTGCAACCTGAACTCGAAAAGGGTTTGGACTGTTGGAGTGTGTTTTCGCCTGCGTCAGGGCATATGCCGAAGGTTAGCTCGCCCATAGGCTCATGTCACTATAATGCACAATGGGTATTGAACCCTTAATCGAATCCTTGCTCTTCCAAGGACTCCTTGAACCTCGGTCAAGGCTTTATGAAGTGTGTAAACTCTCTCGCATCGGCTTTCCCTCCCACTTCGAGTTCATTGGCCGACATTCCAGCGTGAAAAGCAAAATGCTGACCACAATCACTGCATCCTTCCATAATCTAGTTGGGCACCACGTTCGTGAATACTCCTTCTTATATCGTCCTTCAGCTGTACCGAGCAGGGATGCCAATGTGGCTATTTCGGACACTGAGACGTATCCTGGTGTCTCTCATGACTGCTTCATGATTTAGCTGCCTATATCAAAGTAGCTGCTTCAGATGCACTCGAAGACATCTCTGCGAACCACTACAGTCTCCCGAAAGGCCGCATTCGCCTGCGTAAGGCCGTAGCTGAGCATCTCTCGGAGAGCTTCGACTTGGGTCGACCATTGGATGCCGAGAATGAAGTTGTGATCAGTGCAGGTGAGCCTTTTCTAACCGACGTCCAGAGTGATTGAACCCCGAAGCCAAAGGACTAACTGCATATGACATTCTCTGTCTGGGCATTTGTCCACGTATTAGGCGCTAATATGGGAATCTTTGCTACCCTCCTTGCATTTTGTTCTCAAGGGGATGAAGTCATCTTGATGGAACCCTTCTTTGATCAATGTGTGTGTTCTCACATGTCAGATTATCGAGTCAACTTGTTGATTCTGAATAGCCTTTCCTGGATTTCTTGTTCGCGGGCATAAGATATCCGCAACATCACCTTCGCAGGTGGCAAGCCTGTTTACGTGCCTTTGCGTCCACCGACTATTGCAAGTCACAAAAACGTAAGCAGCAAGGCCTGGACATTAAATCTCGAAGAGCTTCGTGCCGTCATCACTCCCAAGTCCAAAATAATGTGTGTGAATCTGGTCAACACTGCACCTCAGATTTAGTTCCCCAGCTCACTCGAAGCATTTTTTTTGTCGGACCACCGTAGCATTCTCAACACGCCCCACAATCCAATAGGCAAGGTTTTCAGTGCGAAGGAGCTGAAGGCAATCGGTGAGATCGCGGAAGAGCATAACCTGTTGATTATTGCAGATGAGGTGGTGCGTCTGACTCGAAACATACATTGTCCACATTTCACTTACTTCTCAACAATAGTATACATTGCACAGTCCCTCTTCCTTTTCTCACGCTTGATTGTGTTTCTCGTAGTACGACTGTCTCACCTTCGATGAGCCACACGTACGAATTGCTTCCCTCTCACCGGCATTGTGGAACCGCACCATTACAGTTGGCTCGGCTGGCAAGTCGTTCTCTGCGACTGGTTGGCGTGTTGGCTGGTGCATTGGCCCACAAAAATTACTTGCACCTGTCTTGGCTGTCTTGACAAGGACCGTGTTTTGCTCCGTGAGCCCCTTGCAAGAAGCCATCGCAGCGGGTTTTGAGGGCGCCAAGAAGGAACACTTCTTTGAAACACAATTACGCGAGTATCGCGAACGAAGAGATCTCATGATGTCTTATCTCGATAAACTTCGACTACCTTATACCCAGTTGAGTCCTTGGATCTATTGGATCTCACTTATAATTTATTGCTGTCTTAGCTGAGCAAGATTCAACTCTGTCGGAATGCTCCGACATTTCTCTTCAATCTGCGTGCGCACCACAGACCGGATGGTGTAGGTTTAGAGTCACATAATTTGATTCAATGTTTAGCAAACTGACTGGTGTGTCTCTTATCAAATATCAAGTCTTATTTTATCCTAGTACAGAACTCAAAAATCAAGATTCCCGACGATTTTGAAATGATCGACATCGTAAAGAACAGGCCACGCGATTGGCATGTTTCATGGTTCATTGCTAAGGTGGCTGGTATTGTGGTGAGCCTAAACAATCCTCGAAAACGTGTTTTGGCGCTTCGCCTTGCTCACTATGATCCCGCGAGTTAATGATTCTTGCTGCGGTGGTGATATTATGCATTGTCATTCACAACGCATTCAACGACATCAGTGCATACCACCGTCAGATTTTTACTCTAGGTTGGTTCATTTATCCAAGTTCGACATGACCGAACTGGTGCTGTGGATCAACTTCTAGAACATCGGCAGCTAATGATTCCACGTCCGCTGTTGTACTACTTCTTCTTTAGCGAACATGTCTCCATTGCAGAAAATTTCACCAGGATTGCATTCTGTAAAGATTTGAAGTTGAGTACACATGTGATAGCATCAACCCTTGGTAGTTGTCTGGCTGACAATTGTTTTCTGTCTGGCGACCTCCATTGCGTGAAAATCAGTACTCTCAAGGAAGCTGGGGAGAGGCTTCAAAAGCTCAAGCCATACTTGATTTGACACAAATTGTACGAACGTCTTCTTTATTTCATTAGTTTTTGTCCCGTAAGGAGGTAATGCTGGCGTTGCATTATTTGGTCTAGGTGACATTAACATTGTTTGAAAGAAAATCAGGTGCATCAGTTTGCAAGCACAAGTATATATTGGAACTAGTGAATAGCGGGGGGAGCTTGATGTGCCACAGATTGGGCAAAGTGTAAATTTATCTCTAGAATAAAGTCTCCTGTTGATGACCAAGTCTTCCCTTTTTCAAAACTCCGAAATATGTGTCACTACCAATACTCCCCATCTGTATTTGTGGGTGAACCATTCATTGGCAAAGATCTAGTACTAACTAAGGCTGAGCACAAATTTAACATATCTCAGTTGTGCCTGGCAATTTTTGAGAACTAGTCCTTGCCAAGGCATAAGGGACTGAAAGGTTGGGTTTTTGGTGTGGAAAGGTTTTGAAATCTAATGAAGAGATTCTTGATCCCTCAACCCACCAACTTCCCACTTATCATCTTTTTTAAACAGTGCTCTGTATGGACCTCCCCACTGCCAAGATATTTGTATCGGATGGGCCTATCCGATGTTCTATCACCCCGAGATATGCGATGCAGTGTCAGTAGGATTAGGTGCGATGGAATTACACTGCAATATGGTGTCAGAGCATTAGATACCGAT